CTCTCTCTCTGCCTACCTCTCTGCCTACTTGTGATCTCTGTCTGTCAAATAAATAAATAAAATCTTTTTTAAAAAAAGTACTGGTTTTCTCATTTAAACTTCGATAAACATCAATTAGTTTATACAGTGTAAGGTGCACCTGGTTGGCTCAGTCGGTTAAGCGTCTGCTTTCAGCTCAGGTCGTGATCCTGGGATCTTGGGATCGAGACCCACGTCAGGCTCTCTGCTCACTGGGGAGTCTCCTTCTTCTGCCCCTTCCCCTGCTTGTGCTCTCTCTCTCTCTCAAAGAAATAAATACAAATTAAAATTTTTTTTAAATTTACACAATGCAAAAGTCAGGGGGGAGCCTATTTGCTAAGCCAATTCACCACACACAGAATCTAGAAGGACCAGGCATCATGCTAAGTGCCTTCCCAACATTATCCCGTGAAATCTCTCCAACAAATTAAGGGTCATTATTTCCATCTTTGGCTAATGAAATTGAGGCATACAGTAGTTAATGACTTGCCCCAGGTCCCCAAACTAAGAGGCCCTTGACCTTAGAAATAGGATCCGTGTGTGTGCCAATAGCAGGGATATGGGCTTCAGCTTTATGTCAAGAACTTCCTGAAGCATAGATCCTGCCTCCTCCTTAATCATTCTGCCCTTATCCCCAAAAGCTGCACCATGATTCTGGAATGCCCTTCCCAGCCCACAGCATTCTCTTTACTTACTCAAAATGTTTTACAAATACATTTATGGCATTCATTGCATTCATTCCCATGAGCAGAGCCAAGATATTCCACTTTATGTTTGAGCAAACAGAGTTGAGGTCCCCAGAGTTAGAATTCAGCTCCCTTCCTGCCACTTTCCCAGACTGGCTGATTCCCCTCCTCTTCCCTTGGCCCTACAGGACATCCCTTGGCCCGAGTTTGACATCTTTATAGAACAGTCTCTTCGTATCTCAGGCTGATGTTTGGGTTTCATTACTTGCCTTGTGTGTGAGTGATAAAAGAGGTTGCACTTGTCCCTTGACAGCCAAAGATTCTCATATCTCCCCTCCTCTAAATGGTATAAGGTGGAATTGTATGGCTTTTCCAACACTGTTTCTTCATTTAGGTTCAGGACAAGGATTCAAGGAAAATGCAGATGTGGAGGATGCCTAGGTGGTTCAGTCAGTTAAGCATCTGCCTTTGGTTCAGGTCATGATCCCAGGGTTCTGGGATCGAGACCCATGTTGGGTTCCTCGCTCAGCGGGGACCCTGCTTCTCCCTCTTCCTCCTGCTCCCCCTGCTTGTGCACTCTCTTTCTGACAAATAAATAAAATAAAATCTTTTAAAAAAATCCAGATGTGGTAGGCAAGATTTCTGGGATTGAACGCAGCTCTGCAGCTCCATCTTGTCCATCAGGATCTATGAACATTACTCTGCCCCATTGTCCCTTCTCTGATTCATTCCTTTTCATCCAGCTCAGGAGTCACCCTTCCCAGGGGTCTCGTCTCACGCCTGTCCACACCCAAACACTCCACTCTTGTTAAAGATTCTTCCGAGTTCCCATGGCCCTTAGGTTTAGGGCATACAACCCAAAGCAGCATAGCTCAGAGGTTAAAAGAACAAAGTGTAGCATCAGCAGGTGGAAATCAAATCCTCCACCCCTCGGGGCGCCTGGGTGGCTCAGTGGGTTAAGCCGCTGCCTTCGGCTCGGGTCCTGATCTCAGGGTCCTGGGATCAAGCCCTGCATCAGGTTCTCTGCTCAGCGGGGAGCCTGCTTCCCCCTCTCTCTGCCTGCCTCTCTGCCTACTTGCGATCTGTGTGTGTGTGTGTGGTCAAATAAGTAAATAAAATCTTTTAAAAAGAAAATCCTCCACCCCTCACTAGCTGTGTGGCTTTGGGCTAGTTACCTAACTGTTCTGGGCCTGTCCCCTCATCTGTAAAATATGAAAGATAGAGTATCCGTTTTCTAGGAGCAGCATTACCCGAGATGATAGCTGTAGGTGAGTGGTGAGCGTGATGAAAGATGCCTGGAGCGTTACGAGCACTTAATAGGCTGCGCCGTGATCACAGAAGAACTGGCTTGTGTGGGCTTTACAACAGGGCCTAGCAGCGAACAATATAGTAGCAGTGGTAGTAGTGTTGTCAGCATTTCTCACACTGCCTTGATAAATTGCCATTTAAAGTGTCTGCCTCATCAGAGGAAAGAGTGTGTCATTGGTTCTCTGAATCTCATACACTAGGCACCTCATACACTAGGTCACACGCTCTCTATTGCAACTATTCAACTCTGCTCTTGTAATGGGAAAGCAGGCGTGGACAACTGGATTAATGAATGGGCAGGGCTGTCTTCCAGTAGTATTTTAGTTATGGGCACTAAAATGTGAACTTCGTAGTATTTTCACAAATCACAAAAGGTAATTCTTTTGATTTTTTTTTTCCACAACCATTTAAAAATGGAAAAATAAGGGCATCTGGGTGGCTCAGTCAGTTAAGCGTGGGGGACTATTGATTTCAGCTTAGGTAGCCATCTCAGGGTGGTGAGATCGAGCACCGCTTTGGGCTCTGTGCGCAGCGCAGAGTCTGCTTGTCCTTCTCCCTTCCCCCGACTTGTGTTCCCTCCCTCTCAAATATAAAATGGAAAAATAATTCTTGGATCTCTAACTGTCCAAGAGCAGGGAGCAGGTATGATTTGGCCCGCGGGCCGCAAGGGACCCAACGTCGGGCTACCGCTCGCCTACCCCGACTGCGCTCGGGGGAAACCGAAGCTCGCATTGGGCCAGGCAGAGTGGGCGGGGCCTGAGAAGCATCGTGACGCCCCACAGTTGGAAAGGGAAAGCCCGGATTGGTCCACTCCTTTTGGCATTCAGCCAGTCAAATCAGAGAGGCGGTGAGGCTTAGCCCCGCCTCGCGCCAGCGTCCGCGTTACGCGGGGAGTGCGCCACGCCCCCTTGCGCGCCCGGCACTTACTTCCGGGCGCTGGCACGGCGTGACGTCAGGAGGAGGGCAGGTAAGTACGCGCGGGCGGAGGGGCGGTCGGGCTCGGGGAAGGCCCGGGGTCTGGTCGTTCCTTCCCGCGACCTCGGAGCCGTCCGATGGGGGACGAGCGCCCTGGGGGCCTTGGGGCTCTGCGGTTGTGGGCCCATCTCCGGAGCCCCCTGTCCGCAGGCCATGTCCCAGCCGCGACCCCCTATTGAAATCCCCGGGCCCCGGCCTTGACCTCAGTCCCAGCCCCGGGCCGTATTATGCCTGAAGGGCCCTTAGGTTTTCTTATCTGAAAAACGGGGCCAGTGAGCCCCTATCTCACTGGGTTATGGTGAGATTTTGATGCTTGTAGAACGGTTTGGCATGAGAAATAGTCGAATGTACCAACATTTAACTCCGCATCTGACGCTGGACTAAGTACTTCAACTCACTGAGTTTTGACAGCAACCTTATCAGGTTGACTCTTTTGTAAGCCCTCTTTATAGATGAGAGAACTGTGGCTCAGAGAGGAATGCTTTAACAAAAGTCAAAATGCTAGCGAGCAGAGTCCGGATCCAAGCCCAAGCACTGTGCCCTAAGCCAGTGGGGTTTATGATTACTACTGACACCAAGGACTAGAAATTTCTATACATTCATCCTGTAGCCCCACCTGTGCCCGTCACTGGGGTGGTAAAAACCCCTGTAAAAGCCCCAGCTCCTAAAAATGGGGTACCCTGCAAACACTTCCCAGTGTCTTACTTCATCGAACCTCAGAAAGTCCTGTCACCATCACAGACTCTTTACAGATGAGGAAGTATAAGTTCAGAGACCCTCAGACACTGGCTGAAGTCACCCAGTTAGGAAGGAGTGGAGCTGGGATGCAGGCCCAGGGAACTGTGCCCCAAAGCCTGAGTGGGCACTTTTCTGTTTGGTTGACAAAAGCATTTTTAGGTTGGAAATGACCTTGGGAAAATCTGGTCCAGGGACGCACTTCACAGATGGAGGATCTGTGGTGAAGAGATGTTCAGGGTCATGGTGGAACAGTTTACATCTGGAACTTTGCACCCCAGCTTCGTCTCTGAGCCTGGGCAAGTTACTTAAGCCCCCATGTCCTCGTTCGTCAACTGCAGATAATAGTGACCTAATACAGACGAAAAAAGGCAGTGATGTCAGACTTGATAGAGCACCTGGCATGCAGTAACTAGTAGAGGGTGCACAGCTAAGTGGCAGAAACAATTAGATACTTCCTGACTCTAGCACAGGGAGCCAAATAACTACACCCACAGGCCAAAACCAGGCCACGGCCTGATTTTGTACAGCCTGACAGCTAAGCATGGTTTTGACTTCATAAGTAGTTGGGAAAAGTCGAAAGGAAGTATAATATTTTGTGACAGGTGACAACCATGTGAAATTCAAAATTCGGTGTTCATAAATAGAGTTTTGATGAAATGCAGCCAACACCCATTTACATATTGTCTACAGCCGCTTTCCAGCTATGACAGCAGAGTTGAGTCATTGGGACAGAGGCAGTTGGGTCCGCAGAGCCAGAAATATTTACTGTGTGGTCCTTGATAGAGAAAATTTGCCAATCTGCATTCTAGAATACGCTTCAGTCCCTCGTAGCATCTCTCTTTGGTGTCAAGTAGAACTTTGTTTTATTTTACCTAAAAGTCTCTCCTGCAAATATACAGGAGGAGGGTGGTCACCCACCCCCAGCGCAAGGAACCTTCCATCTGTCATGTGTCACCTGCACTAATTCTTAGGAAACTTCAGCCACGAGTGGTTCGCGCTGTCAGCGTTTAGCAGGAGCTAGGCACTGTCCCAGGTGCTGGAGATACACACAGTGCAACCTGGCAGAGGAGACAGACTGCATAGGCAGGGCCATGTGATAGGAACCCCAGGGGAGAAGTGGCTTTAGATCAGGTAGTCAGATGAGGCCTCCGCCAGAGATGATATTTGAGCTGAGATCTGTGACAGAGAACAGACAGCCCGTGAAAGAGCATTCAAGCCCGTTGGCCTGCACCTGCTGAGCCTTCGGAGCCAGTGCAACTGCAACAGAGGGAGGGAGAGGGATAAGAGGCAGGCTTGGAGAGCCAGGCAGGGGCTCCAAAGGGTATGGGAAGGGTTTGGACTTGATTCTCAAACCGATGGTGATCACTGGAGGGGTTTAAGCAGAAGAACAATATTTCAGATTTAGATTTTAAGATCTCTTTCTGGTCCCTGTGGGCAAAACAGACTGTGGCAGTCAAGGGCAGAGCCAGAAGACCAGGGAGGAGGCAGCTGCGGTTCAGGTAAGCCACGATGGGGGCTGCAGAAGGTGTCAGGTGTGAAATCTATGTTGGATGGAGAGTGAAGAGGACACTGTCTTTCTAAACAGACAAACACCGCTCTCTGGAGGACCGTCTAAGCCGCTGCTGCCACACATAGCCCACGGCATCTTCGGCAGGAAGACTTGGCCCCTCCACCAGGCTCCCTGGGAGGGCAGCGCTGGGCAGGGGGCTGACCCTGCACAATCCGTGTCTCGTCGTCTTTTCAGATCAGCCGTGCTGAGGGTGAGGACCGGTAGGCAGTTGCCAAGATGGTGAGTGGACAGCCTTGTGCTTGTTGGGTTTCACTTCTGGTCTTTGTCAGGCCCCCAAAGTAGCCCTTTCCCTCCCCCTCCCCAAGCTATAAAGGTGGAATTTCCAAACTCCAGATCGTGATCTTTTTGGTACAGTGGTTCTCAAACTTTGCCATGCACTAAAATCACCCAGGAAGCTTTTTTGTCTTTTCTTTTCTTTTGTTTTTTGGTTTTTGGTTTTAAGGAGGTGACATTCATGAGCTGTTGTAGAGTTTACGATTTAGTGGCATTTAGTATTTGATTATCTAGTTCCAGAGCATTTCCATGTCCCCCAAAAAGGAAATCCTGTCCTCATGAGCAGTCACTCCCCAGGTCCCCTCCCCCAGCCCCTGGCAGCCACCAACCCACTTCCTGTCTACATGGACTCGTCTGTTTGGGACAGTCCATGTAAGTGGAATCATACAATATGTGGCCTTTCACGTGTGGCTTCTTTCACTGAACATAGTGTTTTTGAGTTCCTCCACATCGTAGCAAGAATCAGAACTTCATTTCGTGTTACCACTGAGTAATGTTCCCCCGTCTGAATCAGCCGTATTCTGTGTATCCATTCATCCACCGATGAACGTTTGACTTGTTTCCACCATTTGGCTGTTGTGATTAGTGCTGCCGTGAGCAGGTGTGCACAAGGATTTGTCCAAACACCTGTTTTGCAGGATGCTTTTTTAAAAGCCCCCTGTCCGAGTGTCACACCTCAAAGCAGCCCCCGTCAGGAGAACTTTTGGGGCTGGGGGCCAGGCATCAGTATTTTAGAAACTCCTCAGGGGGATATAATGTTCAGCCCAGTTTGAGACCTACTCCTTTGGTGGGTGACGAGGTCAGTTTATGGGGCGGCTGCCAGCATTGAAAAAGCAAGACCCTCGCAGCGGGGGTAAGCGTTCTTTCACAAAACCTGCCCTGGGCTTCACTGGGTTATGTGCGTGTGCACAGTGGCAGTGTTAAATGCGTCTGGCTGTCAGTCATGGTCCCCAAAACACTGAGCATCCTTGCTTTAGGAGAGTCTGATTCTTGTGGAATTTTCCACGGTGACAGCGGTGGTTCGCTAGTCCCCAAGTTACAGTCTCTGTGGAGACCCTCAGAGCCCAGGGCTTCTCTAGGATGTCCCTCGGTCTCCCTCATCCGGGCCCCGCCTCTTGAGGCTGTGCAACAAGGTCTCCTCCAGATCACCCTCTCTGAGTCCCGTCTCTCTTCTGCTTCCCAGGGTGAAAGGAAAGGTGTAAACAAGTACTACCCTCCGGATTTCAATCCTGAAAAGGTAAGGGCGGGTTCCCTTCCCCTTGTCCACACGAGCAAAGAGACTCCATAGAGCAGGGGGCGCATGGCCCGTCATCCGCTCTAGGAGTCAGAGCCACGGCTGCAGAGTGTGGGTGGCCTCTGTGGGCTCGCTGCTGTGCACGTGTCACCCGGGCTCAGGGCAGTCTTCATTCCCAGTGGTAAATGTGGCTGTGCGTCAGTGACCTTTTATGCTGGACCCACCCAGCTTGGTGTGTTTCCAGCGAAGGTCGGGAGGTCTGATGCTCTTTGTCAGATCCCCTTGCTCTCCCAGCTCCAGCTCCTCTGGCTTCCTCTTTGTTCCCTTAGCTGTTCCCTCTGCTTGGAATCTCTTCTGTCCACAGGCTCCCTCCCTTCCTTCAGGTCTCTCCCCACAGAGGGCCTCCCTGACCACCATCTACTTTTCTGTGCATCACCTAGTACTTTATTTCTCTTTGTGGCCCTTATAGCTCCCTGATGCGCTATCCATTCATTTGGATATTGTTTGTCTCCCCCTTCTAGAATGTCTGCCTGAGGGCAGAGATGTTCATCTGTCTCGTTCACAGCTGTGGTCCCACATTGTAGGCACTCTGTAAGGGCCTGGGAACGAATTGTCCCAGCTACGTGATCTGGGGCACATAACTGGCTTCACTGTGCCAGTTTCCCCATATGTCAAAAGGAGGAAATAGAAAAATAGCCCAGCGTCATGGGATCCCTGGCTCGGTTGGTAGAGCTGTGACTCTTGATCTCAGAGTTGTGAGTTTGAGCCCCATATTGGGCGTAGAGATGACTTAAAAATAAAATCTTAAAGTAACCCTTTTAAAAACAAACAAACAAACAAATAACCCAAGATGAGGCATATGGAGTGGCCAGTAAGCGCTGACCAGTGCTGTCCCCTCACCTCATTGTCTCTGCAGCACCAGAGGCCAGTACAGTCACCGCCCCGGTCGACAGTTGGAGGAAACAGGTTGGCAGGCAAAAGGCAACATCACTCCCCAGGGTTACACAGGTCTTTCATCTCCTAAATGGAAGAGCAAAGATTCAATCTCCTGTATTCCTGATCCAGCCCTGCTTGCTTCCCCAAGCCTTCAGTGCCCCCACGGTCTGCCCTTAGCACCCGCCGCAGGACATGAGCAGGCGGCCTCTCTCGGCCTGGGAGAGCCCGCATGGCTGTGCTAACCCGCCCCCTTGTCCTCTCCGCGCAGCATGGCTCCCTCAACCGATACCACAACAGCCACCCGCTGCGGGAGCGGGCTCGGAAGCTGTCTCAAGGCATCCTCATCATCAGGTAAGGCCCCGGCCCCACCTGGGGACCCCTGCGCTTTGTACCACCCGGCATCAGGCTCTAGGAGAATTCGGTGCTTTTGATTTTGCCCCGTGTCACGGGGTCTCAATTCCAGGAAGCAGGAAGTCGGCCTGTCAGTCCGCTGTTGCCACATCATCAAATGATAAGCAGGTATCATATGTTGCTCGCAGTTCTGCAGCTCAGCTGGCTGCCTCTGCTGGCCTTCCCTGGCCTTGGCTGACGCGGGCTGGGCTCTCTCACCTGTTCGGGGGTCACCTGCCTGCGGACTGGCTGGGCCAGCACGACTAGGCTCCGCCCCACATGTGTCTCCTCCAGTCAGCTGGCCCGGGCTGGTTCACATGGCAGCACCCAGGTTCCAGAAGGGAGCGAGCACGGGTATACAAGGACTCTTGAGGCCAAGCCCCAGAGCGGGCACACTGTCCCTTCTGGCTCATCGATTGCCCAAAGCCAGTCATGTTGTGGGGGTGGGGACCATTCATCCCACCTCTTAACAGGAAGCATTGTAGAGTCACATCGCAAAGGGTACGGGTAAGGAGTGGATAAATAATCCCAGCCATGGCCGCATCGAGCCAGGACAGTGGCCCGTCTCTCAGGGCTCTCCTTTGGTCTGTGGCCCACGCCCCGGTGGGTCAGCGGTGACAGGAAACAGAAGCCAGCCTGTGTTGCCTTAGAAGGATGAGCCCTTCTCTGCATCATGGACACTGACCTCAGTCTCTGTGGTGCACCTTGGGCCTGAGCAGAGGATCCAGCGACAGTCATGAGAGGCAGGAATGTCAACAGAAAAAGAATCAAGATCCAAGTGCCATCATGGCCTGGGGAGGCACCAAGATGAAGGTGACCTCGAAACACCCCTCCCCACACCTCCAGCCAGAGCCCGCCCCGCTGGGCCGCCTCAGGCTTCTTGACTTCGCCTCGTCATTCATCACTTCGTGGTATTTTGAAGCACGCGTTCTGTCACTCCTGCACATGGACAGCCAGATCATGTGTTGTAGACAGACCACAGAAAAATCCAGGGACCATACAGCGACTCTGCTCAACTCTGGTTGGGCCACCGCCCCCTTCCAGTTGGGGTCACTCACAGGGCAAGGCGTGAAGACAGGGCCGCAGCGGCAGGGACTCACCCGGACGGGCTGAGCCAGCGGGAGAGCAGAATGATGGGACCGGCCTGCCTCGAGGGATGCCCTCCGCTCTCTGTCCTCCTCATGCACATGTCCTCTGCCTTTTGGCTGCGGCGGGAGGCACGGGCACGCACACTCAGGCAGGGCCCAAGCGGACAGGTGCTGATGAGCCGTTTTCTACTCGCATAGGTTTGAGATGCCCTTTAACATCTGGTGTGATGGCTGCAAGAACCACATCGGCATGGGTGAGCCCCGCCTGCTCCCACTCCTCACCCCACCCCCAACCGTCCCGCCCCGCAGGCGGCGAGCCCCTTCCCTGCCTGGCCCGTCCACACCGGGGGCTCCGATCAGGAATATGAGAGGAGAGAGGCATCCCAGTGACCAGCGGGTTGTGGGCACCTCGCTGCAGAGCAGTGAGGAGGCCTGTCTCTCCCACTTCCTAGCTGGGGGACCCTCAGCAGGTGACTTAGTCTCTGTGGGCCTCAGTTTACCCAGCCATAAATTCAGGTGGTGTGCGCACCCCATGCATGTGGCATACAAAGTATATAGCACACAGTACACGTGAGGGCTCATGAACTCAAACTACCCCTGCCCTAGCTCTTACCTTTAAGGTCTGGACCCTGTCCATGCCACAGATGGACGGGCAGACAGACAGGCACGGCTCCATGGTCCCAGGGCAGCTCTGAGACCACGGGGCAGTAACTTGACCCGCCTGGCTTCCATTCCCAGCTCTGTGACACAGGGACCCTCAGCTCCTCACGTAGTGCCTGGCCCAGGGCAGCAGCTTGCTTTGTAAGCAAGCGTGGTGGTGGCTCTTGGCACAAGGGTCCAGCCCCTCTCCCAGGGGCCACGGAAGAGAAGAAGGAGGGGCTGGGCCACCCCACTGCTGAGGTGGATGTGTGACACCCCCCTCTTGCCAGTAGGTCCCCCGATCAGACCCAGCCCAGGGGCATCTGCAGTGAAGGCCACCAGTGCTCAGGGGACAGAAACAGGATGTAGCCTGATGCCAGAGGCAGGTCACCCTCAGGGCCGTGAACCGAAGCCGCCACCAGGAAGGGAGAACTCAGGCCACACCACCCACCAGCCTAAGCTCTGTTTTTGTAGTTGAAGCTGTTTTCACCGCATGAGCAAGGTTAAACAGATCTGGAGTATATGTCATCTAATTAGGGAAAAAACAAAAAAACACAGACATTAATAATAAAAGCCAACACTTCTTGAGCACTTGCCACGTCCCAGGCCCTGTGCTAAGTGATCCGTGTGTGCTGTTAGCTCCTGGGGTTCTCATAACATCACTGCGCCGTGGGCGTTATAGTCTTCCTTGTTGAACAGATGGAGAAACTGAGGCCCAGAGGGCCAAAGTAGCCGGCCTAAGGTTGCCTGGCTGGAATGCGGTGGAGTTGGGATTTGAACCTGGGCCCTCCTGCTACCACCCACCCTCCTCTGTGGCTTGAGCACCTGTCGTGGAGCCTGGACATGGCTCTTTCCCACCTTGAATTTTAAGGTCCTCCAGAGCTGTGTCTGGAGGAGTTCCACCCCTTTCTGCCCGCCCACCCAGGGAAAAGATGCTGAGCCTTCATTCTCTCCCTCTCCTCCCAGGGGTTCGCTACAATGCCGAAAAGAAGAAGGTTGGCAATTACTACACAACCCCGATCTACAGGTACAGGCAGCCCGGCGGGCGTCTCCGAGGGATGCATCAGATAGCTGCAGGGCGAGGGGGCTCCAGAGGAATCGGAGTCAGAGGGTGGCCATTCCGTGATGGCCATTCCCTGCAGTCGTTTCCTGGACACTGTCCCGGTCTGTCAGGGCATATCCTTCTGCCTAGAACTCTCCATGGTTCCCACCTTCCTCAGAGTAAAAGCCTAAGCCCTCCCCATGGCCCACAAGGCCTTGCGCGCTCTGCCCGATCCCCTCCCTACCCTCATCTTGTCCCACTCTCCCCCTTGAGGTCCTTCACACACCCCAAGAAGGCCCCCACCTGGATGCCTTCAGCCTGGAACGCTCTTCCCCAGTCATCTACAAGGCTCCCTCCTCTTGGGTTTCTGCCCCAACACTGCCTCTCAGGCCTTTTCCAGAGCAGCACTCACCACCAGACAGTGGTTGCTCATGCATTTGCTGCCTATGTGGCCTCTGCTGGAAGGTCAGTCCCTCCAAGAGCAGGCTGGCGTCCCTCACTGCTGTGTCCCCAGCAGCTGCCAGTCAGCGTGCCACAGAGCAGCCTAACTCGGGAGGGTGTGTTGGATACATGAGTGAAAAGTGAGCAGACGCCAGACAGCCCATCAGTCTGTCTGACCTGCAGCTCTAACCCCAGATGCAGAGCTTGGTGGGTAGGTGCTCAGTGAACATTTGTCACGTGACACGTGACAGAAGAAAGCAGGCAGGGGTGGCGGGTGACCTGGGGCCACTGCAGTGTCCTGACTTCCGCCCTCTGCCCACCCAGGTTCCGGATGAAATGCCACCTCTGCGTCAACTACATCGAGATGCAGACAGACCCTGCCAACTGCGACTACGTGATTGTGAGCGGCGCCCAGCGCAAGGAGGAGCGCTGGGACATGGCAGACAACGAGCAGGTGCTGACGACAGGTGAGCGCAGGGGGCGGGCCCCAGGCCAGCCCGGAGCCTGAGCAGGAGCCTCAAGGCCCTGCTGCCTTCTGGCTGCTGCAGAGCACGAGAAGAAGCAGAAGCTGGAGACAGACGCCATGTTCCGCCTGGAGCACGGCGAGGCGGACCGGAGCACACTCAAGAAAGCCCTCCCCACCCTGAGCCACATCCAGGAGGCCCAGAGCGCCTGGAAGGATGACTTCGCACTCAACAGCATGCTGCGGAAGAGATTCCGGGTGAGCAGGGGCGGGGGGACCCTGAGGGGCGGGTGGGGGGCACGGATACTGGAAGGGAGAGAACACAGGGGCAGCCTTCGCCCCACTACATCTTAGCTATAGGTGGGTCATTTAGCCCTCTGAGCCTCAGTTTCCCCATCTGACCACATCCCCACCTCCGGGCACCCATGAGGAGCCCCGGCTTACCAGGCGGACACCTACAGCTCAGCTCATAATACATATTTCATGGGTCCACTCAGCTATCCCCACACAAAGTCCATAGATCGTCAATCCACCCCCGCATAATTACCAGAGTCCTCTCTTCAGTGTCTGGTGGTTAAAAAAAAAATTTTTTTTAAGAGAAAGTCACCTACAATGAAATGTAATCGTGCATATTTCAGTACACAAATGCTTGGCCAAGACCCCTGTCCTGACATGGCGAGTCGCTGAGGTTGCAGGAGCAAACGACCAGGACATAGTCCTGCCTCCAGGACACCCCAGGGCCCTGTTGTCAGTGACCACAGTGACTTCCGAAGTTGTATGAAAGATACTGGCTGGAGCCCCATCACAGGGAGTTGGGCCCAGGGTCGAGGGCACCATGAATGGATTTTTCACCCTCTCGGGCATCCGGCGGGGCACTGGAGAATCCTGCAGGATGCGAGAACCTTCCCTCTTCCCCCCCTCTAGGGGCTGCCTTGTGCCCCCCAGGCAGGCAGGAGCTCCCCCAATAACCTCCATGGGGCTCCAGCTGTCACCATCCTCCAGCTCTTGTTCCTTCCTGCTTCCTTTCCTTATCATTCTGTGGTCATTATTTGGAGTAAAACTGCTAGTTTTCTTACTAATTATTTATTACTGAAAACATGTGCTTCCCGCTGGGCCTGTGCCCTGAGCTATGTGTCCCCTGCCTTTGGGGCATCTCCCCATGAGGCATCTAAGGACCCTCAGACATAACACCCTAACAAGCCCCCATCTGTCCCTGAGCCACCCACCCACATCTTCCCTTTCTCAGCAATAGAGGCATCTCTGTCCTTCTAGGGATTCAGGCCCTGAAATCTGGAGTCGACCTTGACTCCCCCTCAGCTCTGTCTCCTGTTGGCAAATTTTTCAGGGTCTGACCACTCCCACAGCCCCATCATCTCCCGCGTGGACCAGCACAGTCTCTCTGCCCTGTCTCTAGGCTCCTGACCACCCCCCCCAACCCCCACCAACACACACACAGTATTTGTTCCCCACATGGCCACCAGGAGGCACCTGTGAATACTCCTCTCTCTGCTTAGAACTCTCCAAGGCTCCCACTTAAAATAGAAGCCAAAGTCCTCCCCATAGCCCATAGCCTGCTTGATCTCATTTCCCCTCCCCACTATCCCACCTTCCCCTCACTCACTTTGTTCCGACCACACTGGCCTCCTCTCTGTTCTTCCAAGCACACTTCTGCTTCTGGGCCTTGGCACAGGCTGTTCCCCCTACCTTGGAACACTTTTCCCCCAGATATGCATATGACTCCTTCATTCATATGTTTTTTCTCACATGTGACCTTCTCGGGGAGACCTTGCCTGACCCTTCCCTCCCTCCTGCACTACATTTACAGTTGAACCCCTCACTCCCTACACCCTTCCCAGTGTTCTTTTTATCCTCGCCACCTTGTGTCTGTCACCCACTAGAATGTCAGCCCCCTGAGGACAAGGGTTTGTGTCTGCTCACTGCTGCACTCACTAGAGAGTGCCTAGAACAAGGCCTGGTACAAGCTGGCCATTCTGTAAATTTTCATGGGATGAATGAGCAGAGGACTGAACAGTACGTGTGTTAATGACGCTCGCAGCTCGCGCTTGTTGGGTGACTTCTGTGTCCCGGGCCCTGTGGGAGGCCCTTTCCTCAAACGAGCTTGAAGCGCAGGAAGCTGAGTAGAGGAACACAGCCCACGTCAGCGGGCAAGGAAGAGGCAGGTCTTTGACACCTTTCCCGCACCCTGTCCCCCACCACACAGGAAAAGAAAAAAGCCATGCAGGAGGAGGAAGAGAGGGACCAGGCGCTTCAGGCTAAGGCGAGCCTGGCCATTCCACTGGTGCCCGAGACAGAGGACGACCGCAGGCTGGCCGCCCTGCTCAAGTTCCACACTCTGGACTGTGCGTGGGGAGCCAGCGGGCCTGGGGGACTGGGCGGGCAGAGATGGGGGTCCTCAGCCACGAGTGGGCCATGGCAGGCCAGGGCAGAGGGCGGCTTTGGACCTCCTTCCCTCTCTTCCCTCCCAACCCTCAGCCTACGAGGACAAGCAGAAACTCAAGCGGACAGAGATCATCAGCCGCTCCTGGTTCCCCTCCACCCCAGGACCCGCCACCAGCAGCAGCAAAGCCGGCAGTGTCCTGAAGAAGCTGGCCCAGAACCGCAGATCAGCACCGGCCTGCTCCCCCATCACTGTAGAGGACCTGGGCATCGTGCGGCGGCGGTCCCGGGAGGTCTCAGAGAGCCCCCAGCACACAACGGAGACCCCCAAGTCTGGGGAGCCATGGGTGCCAGAGGGGAACACCCAGGATGGGCCCACATCCCCCCGAGACTGCTCTCCGGAGACTGCCGAGACCCCCAAGAGCAGGGGGCCTCGGGAGCAGGAGGGGAAATGTCAGGACAGGCCCCAGCCCCCACCAGGCTCCTCTCAGGAGGACATGCCACACCTGTGCACCCTCAGCTCCTCTCTTGTGGCTGATTACTCCGATTCAGAGAGCGAGTGAGCGGTTCTGGGGACCAGACCCGCTCCAGAGGCTACGACTCGCCCAGGAGGCCCGTGGGACTGCAGCCCTGCTTGTCCACCAGCCCCCGGAGCGCTCCGATACTGCCCCTCCCCAGACCTTGCCTTCCTGCAGTGGTGGAGTTATTTATTTGGTGCTGGAGAGGGTGTTTGTGCCTTGTGGGACATCATCCCAACATTAAAGACCTGCTTCTTTGTCCCTGCCTCAGGTTCCTAGCCAGGCCCAGGGGCTGTCCACCAACCCCAGCCAACTGAACTTTGGGGACTCTCACCAGCCAGTGTGATGCTGCCGCCATAACTGTGGCCTCAGCCATGACCCCCACCTGGCATGACTCAAGGTGGTGGCTCCAGCTGGTCTGCAGTCAAGGCAGACTTCCCAGAGGAGGCAACACAGGCTGTGTGAAGGGTGGAAAGGGAACCAGGCTGTGGGAATCACACAGGGAAGGCCAGGGCTGGGAACACAGGGGGTGCCTGAAGCAGCTGGGCCTGGAGTATGCAGGTGTGGGGTTTCTGTTATCCCCAGCCTGTGGGGATGCCTTGGAAGGTCCTGAAAAACCTCCCCCACTTCCCTACCATGATGCATCTTTTTTTTTTTCTTTTTTAAGATTTTATTTGTTTATTTGAGAGAGAAATTGAGAGAGCATGAGATGGAAGGTCAGGGGGAGAAGCAGACTCCCCATGGAGCTGGGAGCCGGATATGGGACTCGTTCCCAGGACTCCAGGATCATGACCTGAGTCGAAGGCAGTGGCTTAACCAGCTGAGCCACCTGGGTGCTCCATAATGCATCTTTTGAAGGTATTTGGTAAACTGAGCAGAAAACCGCTCAGAAACAGCAGGCCATCCTCCCAGTCTGCCACCTCCTCCCAAACCATGGAAAGGGAAGATCATTTAACAAAAATTGATGGGCTATTTACAGTGTGCTGGCCACTAACCTAGGCCCTGGGGATACAGTGGGATACCAGACACACTGCCCTCTCAGGGCTGAGGTTCTGGCCAGATTCTTATTGGCCTTGTCCCTCAGGGGAGATGGTGGCCCCAGTGGCTGTCCCCAGCCCACCAGCCTTTGCTCCCTGCTGGGATGGGAGGTTTCAGGGCAACAGTAGTCCAGGGCAACCCTTAGTCCTTGGAATCCCCCAATTCGGGCCTTTCTATACTTGAGACCACCTTCAGCGCTCGCTCTGGCCGAAGTCAGGCGCCTAAGGGTGACTTGGGGGATCATGCTATGATTCTGGCTGGCTGAACGCAGGGCCCAAAATCCAGGAGTTGCCCCGTGAAAGGTGCCATCTGTGCTTTTCAGGACCTCCCCAGACTCCGGGAAAGTAGGGAGGGATTAGTCACGTGGACGGAGGGTCCTGTGGATTTGCTGTGCGCATGCGCATCCTTGGGGGCGCCCCGCCCCCTCTTCTTCCAGGCTCGTCTCGCGTGCGCGGTTCGCCCTCACTGATTCTTGAGCGACCGTGAGCGAGGGGGTGATACCATGTCCCTGGAGGCGATTCGCTACTCTCGGGGCTCTCTAGAGATCCTCGACCAGCTGCTCCTGCCCCAGCACAGCCGCTACGAGGCAGTGGGCTCGGTGCGCCAGGCCTGGGAGGCCATCCGCGCCATGAAGGTGGGGCCATGCGGCGGAGCTGCGGGGCCGGAGTGGGAGGTGGCGACCCCGCTTGACGCCAGGATCCCCCCTCCAGGTGCGCGGCGCCCCGGCCATCGCGCTCGTGGGCTGCCTCAGCCTCGCCGTGGAGCTGCAGGCGGGCGCGGGGGGACCGGGACTCGCCGCGCTGGTGGCTTTCGTGCGCGACGCCCTGGGCTTCCTGGTCACCGCCCGGCCCACCGCCGTCAACATGGCCCGTGCTGCCCGCCTCCTGGTCGAGACCGCAGCCCTGGAGGCTGAACGCGAGGGCGCCACGGAGGAGGCGGTCCGGGAGAGGTAGGGGGAACCTGTGGCAGGCGCTGCTCTGCGTAGAGGCTATTAACTCATTTCTTCGAGACCGACCCGTTTTACATTAGGGAAACTGAGGCACGGCACATCAGTCCAGGGCCACACAAGCAGGACCAAGAGTCCACCCCAGGTGGCTGGGTCCCAAGATCTTTGCTTTCAATCCCTTGACTCTGCCTCACCAGAACACGCCCAGCCCCTTCTGCCTTAAAGGTCCTTTTCAGAGCCATTTCATTCTCCTGGTTTCTCCTTTTGAGGAATTTTGTTTCCAGTTCTGATCTCTTCCCTGCCCTTTTGTTTTTCCACTCTGCTCTGCTCAAGCTAAGTGATTACCTTCGTGTTCCTTGACCCCACCAAGCTTACTCCTGTCTCAGGGTCTTTGCATGTGCTGTCTCTGCAGGCTGGCTATCCACAGAGCCAACTCCATCAGGTTTCTGATTTGTCTTCCCCAACCCCTCATGTAACACAGCTCACCGCCCCTGCTCGGTCCCCTGATTCTCCTGCCTTCTCCTTCACTTCATTAACTGTTCACCGCCTGACTTGCCCACCCTACTGTGAGCTCCACAGGGGCAGAGATTTTTATCCTGTTCATTGCTGTGCTGTCCCACACACATGAGATAGATGTATTGTGTGGTGGGCAAATGGTGTGACAGGTGACAACGGCAGAAGAGTGTAGGCCCCATAGCCTGGACATAGCCTGGAGAGGCTTTAAGCAAGAGGGCTCCTGCACAGTAGCATTGGCCAGGGAGGAGGGGCTTACCTGGGCCCCAAGGCCTGGTGGCTTGTGCTGAGAGCCCCTTGTCGGCCCCAGAGTGATCCGCTGTGCCGAGGACATGCTGGAGAAAGACCTCAAGGACAATCGGAGCATCGGGGACCTAGGAGCCCGCCATCTCCTGGAGCGGGCAGCTCCTGGGGGTGGCAAGGTGACTGTGCTGACCCACTGTAACACTGGCGCACTGGCCACTGCTGGCTATGGCACAGCTCTGGGTGAGTGGGCGTCCATGGGAGTGGGGATGGGCCCTTTTTGGATACTAGAGAAAGAAACCCTAACCACTTTACCCGCAAAAGGATGTGAATTTACTCTTGTATACAGGTGCTTAGGGCCTTAGCTTCAGGTATGGCTGGGTCCAGGGGTCAAATAGTGGCATCAGGATCCATCTGTCCCTGTTCCTAAATTCTGCCCTCCAGGGCGGCATCATTCTTATGCTCCACAGGTCAGCAGGAAGGTTGCTGGGATTCAGATCATGAAAAGCCAAGGCTCTTTATGCTGACAGTGCAGAAAAGGCTCCTCGTATCTCAGGGGCTTTGATGGGGTCATTTGCCTTTCTAGGATCAATCCGTCCAGCCAAGCCGTGTGCCTAGAGAATGGGAGGATGCAAGGGCTGAGAAGGGAGGGGCCCCCCAAAAGAAAGATTGGGATAGCCCTGCCTTTGTGCCTGGGGACTGAGGCCTTGATGGCAAGACACTGATTTATTCACTCAACAAACATCAGTGAAGAACCAGGGTGCCCCACCATTCCTGCAGATATGCATTCCTCTATTCATTCAGCACTTAGTAAGCACCTACTGTGTGCCAGGCACAGTTCTGGGCACCAGGGACCCACCAGTGGACACAGTAGACAAAATCTCTGCCCCGAGGAATAGGAAAGTAGGAGAAACAAACACAACCAGTCAATAAATGTGTGTACTATGTTCAGAGGTGATAAGTACTAAAGAGAAAGAGCCAGGAAGGGGTAAGAGGTGTGGGGTTTGCTGTGGGAGACCGAGGTATCAGGGAAGGCCTCACCGAGATGTTCTCTGAGCACCCACGTACTTGGCAAAGGGAACAGCTACTGCAGGCGCCTGGGGATGCGACTGTGCCTGGTGAGCCTTTGGCGAACCATGCGGAGATTTTATTTATTTATTCTGAGAGAGAGACAGCAGGGAGGCAGAGGGAGAGAGAATCAACACAGGGCTTGATCCCACGACCCTGAGATCACAACCTGATCCCAGGTGCCCCTGTGCTGTGCTTCTAAACAACGAGCCACCCCACCCGTGTGTCGCTCTCCGTTCTCATCCTGATGTCCTGGTGGGCCGGGCCCCACAGGTGTGATCCGCTCACTGCATACCCTGGGCCGTCTGGATCATGCCTTCTGCACAGAGACGCGGCCCTACAACCAGGGAGCCCGGCTGACTGCCTTCGAGCTGGTGTACGAACAGATCCCCGCCACCCTCATTGCCGACAGCATGGCAGCAGCAGCCATGGCCCACCGGGGCGTGTCAGGTTGGTAGGCGCGGTGCCAGTGGGCAGGGCTCCAGGTGTCCCCAGGCCAGGTTATGACTCCCAGCATCTTGCTCCCTAGCTGTCGTCGTGGGAGCCGACCGGGTGGTTGCCAACGGTGACACCGCCAACAAGGTGGGCACCTACCAGCTGGCCATCGCTGCCAAACACCACGGCATCCCCTTCTACGTGGCTGCCCCCAGCTCCTCGTGTGACCTCCATCTGGAGTCGGGCAGGGAGATCGTCATTGAGGAGCGCCCGGGGCAGGAGCTGACTGATGTCAATGGGGTCAGGATTGCAGCCCCCGGTAAGCTGTCCCCTTATAGGGGGGTCACACAGCACCTGGGCACCTCCCCTTAGGCACTGTGGCCCCTTCACGGGGTCTGGTGGATCTAGGGTACAATCAGCCTTCTGGGGCATAAAGCTCTCTTTCCTGCCATTTCTTAGAACAGAAACATCTTGAAGGTCAGATTCAAGGTCAGAGTGTAAAACTAATGAGTTAGGAGACTGAGGGCAAGTTGTCCATCTGGGCTTCCTCCCTTGAAGAAGAAGTAAGAATACTGTCTCATCTAGTGCCTACGGAGAGACACTGATGTTCTCAGCTTCCCCATGCCACCCGCCTGCCACGCGCAAGATGCCTGACTTCTGTCATCCCCCAGGGCCTCAGTGTTCACATCTGTAAGATGAGCTTTTACCACCATCCAGCTCACAAAGCCAGGGGCGGTCAGTGAGTTCATCCACGTGACGTGGAGGACAGTGCCTGACCCTTGCTTAGCACTCAGTAGATAGTAACAGTTATGACCGAATATACTTTTATAAAAAGGACCAGTTAAGATCCTCAAGCGCTGAAAATACCGTGGGGCTGCCACCCGACTCCCAAGTATGGAGCCACGGTAAAAATCACAGTATACAACTAAGCGGAGGGAAGTCCTAACATTCTGTTGTTTTGTAGATATATTAATTCTATAAATTTTTTTCCTTTATTTTGTTTTTGGTGCCCCTGCTTTACTGGAGGCATATGAGCACTGGCCAAAATCACTGTGAGCAGAGAAAACAGGCCACCAGTTTGCAGCCTCTTGTGTAGAAGGTTGGTACTCACCCAGCAAATATTTTTGAGTACCTGGCCAATGCTCGGAGCTGTGCTAGGGCACTGGGGATACGGGAGTGAAAAAGATGGAAATGTCTCTGCACTCGCAGAGCTGACAATCCAGTGAGGGTTAGGGTTAGGGTTAGACAAACAGATAACAAAACCGCCGTGTATGTTAGAAGTGGGTATGAGCGTAGGAGAAATAAACAAAGTGAGGACGGGCATGGGAAGTGTCCATGTGGGGAGATTTAGACCGTGATTGAAGAAGTCCTCTCTGGGAAGGGGACATTTGAGCAAAGACCTGAAGGAAATGAAACCGTGAGTCACATCCCTACTAGAGGCAAAGGGGACTGCTTGTGCAAAGGCTCTGAGGTGGGTTCTTAGAGCTTCTTACAAAGACCCTTGGAGCTGGCAAAAGTGGGATAGATGTCTCTAAGCGTTCCAAGCCTTCTTGGACAGTGACAGCCCAGGAATGGTGGGGAGCAGGGTCTGAACTGGATAGTAGGGGCTAAAGCCCCATGTAATGCCTTCATGCAGTTAGAGAGTGAGCCATCCCAGATTCTCAAGAATTCCCCAACTCATGAACCACCATGGAGGAGACCGGTCACAAGAGCTTGAGAACTTCTCACACAGCCACATAGCTGCCTTCTTGCCTCCCCGTTCTCCTGCAGGCATTGGGGTTTGGAATCCTGCCTTCGATGTCACCCCCAACGAGCTCATCACCGGTGGCATCATCACAGAGCTGGGGGTCTTCACTCCTGAGGAGCTCCGGGCGGCCCTAAGTACCACTGTCTCCTGAGGGTAGGGACCCTAGATGGACCCCAGAAGCAATCAATCTCACTCTCCATATCCTGCCCCCATTCCCTTAGGTTTTATAATAAACTTATTGAATGGCTTGCCCCTAAACTGACCTTCCTCCCACAACCACCCTTCTTCCTAGAGCAGGGAGAGCACATAGGGCCTTTGCATCACTCTTAAGAGCACTGTAACTGGATCCAGCCTGCCCAAGTTCAAAACCTGCCTCAGCCGCTTTCTCTACAGTGTGATCATGGCCAGGTCACTTCACCTCTCCATGCCTTGGTATTCTCATTTATAAAATGGGGACACTACTGCACTGCCCTCTTAGGTTGCTTCAGGGCCAGAACTAGGGCAGTGCTTGGGGTATGGAATTTTAAAGGGGACATTAAAAAGCCCAGTAATCAAGATAAATAATAGCTTCGTGAAATATTTTTTATTTTATTTTTTCTAGAGAAGAAGAGTGAAAGCACAAGTGGGGGTGGGGACAGAGAGAGAGGGAGAGAAGCAGAATCCATGGTCAGCATGGGGGTCTAGATCTCAGACCCTGAGATCATGACCTGAGCTGAAATCAAGAGTTGTATGCTTAACCAACTAGCCACTCAGGTACCTCTGATTCTATTTTTTTAATACTAATTTTTTTTTTAAGTAATCTCTACACCCAAAATTGTGACTCGAACTGACAACCCCAAGATCAAGAGGCACGTGCTCCACTGAGGCAGCCACGCACCCCTAAAATTGTATTTTTCTTTAAGATTTTTTTTTAATTTTTATCTTTTTTTTTTTAAGATTTTATTTATTTATTTGACAAACAGATCACAAGTAGGCAGAGAGAGAGGAGGAAGCAGGCTCCTTGCTGAGCAGAGAGCCTGATGCGGGGCTCCATCCCAGGACCCTGAGATGATGACCTGAGCCGAAGGCAGAGGCTTTAACCCACTGAGCCACCTGGGTGCCCCAAAGATTTTATTTTTTTAAAGATTTTTTAAATTTATTTGACAGAGATACACAGAGGGAACACAGGCAGAGTGGGAGAGGGAGAAGCAGATTCCCTGCTGAGTAGGGAGCCAGACATGGGGCGCCATCCCGATGGTGACCTGAGCCACCCGGGCACTCCTAAAATTTTTTTTTCTTTTCTTTTCTTTTTTTCTTTTTTTTTTTTTAGATTTTATTTTATTTATTTATTTGTGGAGAGCGCACAAGCAGGCAGAGGCAGAGAGACGTAGGCTCCCCGCCAAGCAAGGAGCTGGATGCGAGACTCGATTCCAGGACCCTGGGATCATGACCTGAGTCGAAGGCAGCGGCTTAACTGACTGAGCCACCAGACATCCCCTAAAATTTTATTTTTAAATGTTGAGAATACTATATCAATTACTGAATTTTAAGCACGCTTAAAGTATGCACCAGTGACTGCCTCAGTCGCCTCACCCTAGTCCGAGAGTAAATTTTGTGTACGAAGGGCATAAAACTACCCTTTACAAAACAAACGAGTTCTTCGTAAATGTTATATTAATATTATAACCTTGACTTGGAAGTTTTGGGGAAGGTTTGCGTTATCGGCTCCTGTGAGCGCTTATCCCTTCAATGCTTTGCCACGTTGTGTCCTGTGAGCCTTTTCGCCCCGCGTCCCCACTGTATCCCATCGTGCCCTGCGCCTCCGGCTGCGCTTGCGTACAGCCCGCCTTTTCCGGCGCATCCTATATCATGGCGCAGGGACAGCGCAAGTTCCAGGCACGGAAGCCGACGAAGAGCAAAGCAGCGGCAGCGGCCTCCGAGCGCAACCGGGGCCCGAGGAAGGGTGGTGAGGAGCTGTCAGGGGTCTGGGGGGCGAGGAGGGCCTAGGGCTCCCCAACCTTACGCGACTGCGTCTCTTCTCAGGTCGTGTGATCGCCCCGAAGAAGGCGCGCATCGTGCAGCAGCAAAAGCTCAAGAAGGTGAGTGGGGGTGCGCGAGCGGCCAGGGAAGGACCCTGGAGGCCGGTACCTGCACCCGGTGGAGGAGCCTGGAGAACTCAGGTCTCCGAGTCTCAGTTTTGACCCCTGTGTCATGGGTACAGGAACATCACATACCACATTCAGCGGGCCTCAGAGGAGCAAGGCCCGCAGAAAGTCTATACGCACGTTAGCTGCTGTCGCTGTTATCGTTGTTTACAAGAAGTCCGGACGGGAGGTGGCGTGGCAAAGTCGAAACCCCAGCTTTGCAGAAAGGCAGTGCTGCGTGTGGTGGAAGCCCTATTAACAGCTAGTATTTATTTTTGTTTTTAAGATTTTATTTATTTATTTGACAGACAGCGAAAGAGGGAAGAACACAAGCAGGGGGAGAGAGGGAGAAGCAGGCCTCCCGCTGAGCAGGGAGCCCGATGTGGGGCTGGATCCCAGGACCCCGGGATCATGACCCGCGCAGAAGGCAGACGCCCAATGACTGAGCCACCCAGGCGCCCCAACAGCTAGTATTTCTTCACCCTGAGTCTCTTAACCTGTAAAATGGTCATAGTAATAACACCTTTCTCCCACAGTTGTAAGAATTTAATGCCATGGGGCACTTGTAAAGCGCCGAGAACAGCACAGGACACAAATGAACATTACCTGCGTTGGTTGATATTTTTGTGGTTGTGTTTACATGCAGCTTCTTTACATAGGTGGGTAGGGTTGAGTTTATAAAGAAGTTTAAGGAGATTTGAAACTGGTTTTACTGGAGTCAGATTTGAGTTCAAATTGTACTCCACACTACCTAATATGTAATCTTGAGCAAATTCTTAAGTTTCTCCCAGAGCCTCGGTTTTCTGAGACCTGGGTACCCAGCGATCTGCTTACCTCCATTTGGCTGAGAGAGGCGGGCTGTCTCACAGGCATCTCAAACTCAGCATCTTCAAAACGAAGCTCTGATCCCTCTCCTTCCCTGACATGACCCTGACACAGTCTTGATTCAGGAAGATTCTGTCCTTCGAGATCATCCATGATTCTCTCTTTCTCTGATCTCTGTGTATAATCTCATCCTTTTTGTGTTTGGTATTAATCTAGAATCCACCCATTTACCGCCTATCTGGTCCCACCTCATCAACTACTACCCGTGACATCCTCCCTGAGCCCCTGCCTCCTCCCACAGCTGCCAGAGGGCGCCAGTGAGCACCCAAGTCTGGTCCTCTTCTCAACCAACTGAGCCACCCAGGTGCCCCCTGGTCCTCTTCTCAGAGCCTTCAATGTCTCCCACCTCAAGAAAAGCCCAAATCCTCTCCATGGCCCACAAGGCCCTGCATGATCTGCCCTTGTCACCTCCCTGCCCTCCTCCCACTCTTCCCTTGCTCACTGGTCCCTTAACAGTTCTTATCCCACCTCAGCACTTTGGCACCAGCTGTTTCCTCTGCCCAGATTCTTCTCCCAGAAATCCACATGGCTCCCTTTCTCAGTCTAGTCTGACTGCAGGCACTGCTTTTGAGCAGCTGTCCCCTGTAACATGGCACCCCTCACTCATTATCCTGTGTTCTTTCTTGGCTGGCAGCGCTTACCTTCACTTTACCCTAGCGAATCATGGGCATTTATGTCGTCTCACACACACTGCGTGCCAGTTTCCAGAGGGGAGAGATTTTTCTGTCTTATTTGTTTGCTGTGGTTTGTCCCGCACCCAGTTATGTGACAGTCATGGTGGTCATAGTCGTGGGAACTCATAGGCAGGACAGGGAGGTTTGGGAGATATGATCAAACTACCACTTTTGGACCCAAACCCCTGTGCCTTTGCTTGTTCCCATCTTTGTGTCTCAGAGCCCCAGTCCGCCATCTGCCAGGCAGAGATGACATGGGCCGGCAGGGACTGCTGCCTGGAAGCATGAGACCAAAGGCTCTGGGCATGTTCCAATCTCCCATCCCTCACCTGTTTGGGGAGGTCTGGGCAAGTGCCTCCTCACTACAGGAACCTGTATCTCCATCTGTAAAATGGGGCTGAGTGGAGGTTTAGAAGCTGAGGTCCAGAGACAAGAACAGGATTTTTTCTGTGTAACGCCCCCAAAGAGTGCAGGGCAGAAGCAGGACTTAAACCCCAGATCCTCGGATACTGTTTCGGGGGGAGTTGCTCATCCAGCCCCCTGTGCATTCTCAGCAGAGAGAGCATGGCAGGTTAGGTGCTCCCCTCCCTCCACCTCAGGTCCCAGTCTCAGTGCCCTGTGGTTCCCCCCCTCAGGACCTGGAGGTTGGGATCCGGAAGAAGATTGAACACGACGTGGTAATGAAAGCCTACAGCAGCCTGCCCAAGAGGCTGGCACTGGTAAAGGCCCCTGCCAAGAAGGAGGCAGCCTCTTCCTCCTCCACCAAGACACCTTCCTAAGGACACCAGCCCATTGGAGGCCATCGACACAGCCTCCATGCTCAGCCCTATGCAGGTGACCCCACAGGTGGCACTGCAAGGAGGAGCTGGGTTCCCCGGAGCCTTGGGTCACATGTACCTCAAGTTTCATTTGGGGTCTAGCCCGTGAGCAGGTGATCAGCAGACCTGGAGTGGACTGGTCAGCTTCCCAGGGTGCCAGGGGCTGCAGAAGGAAAGGAAATGTTCACCAACTTCCTGCATCCCCCTCCTCTGGTCTTATATCCACTGGTTTAACCCAGAGCAATAAACTTGTGATTCCTCCTGCGTTCCCGTGCTCCTGGGAGTGGGCCAGTGCTGGGGCTGGGGACCAGGTGCCCCAGTTAGGTGAGTCCCATCAGTTCCCACCAGAGACCAGCCATGTGCCCAGGGAGGGACCAGTGGGCTTCTGCACCTTCGCCCCTCCCATCCTGGGTGACCCCACCAACCTCCTCACTTGCCTGCACACCATCAGCAGGCATGCCTGGGTCACCACCTCTACCTGAGATAAGCCAGGCGTCTTAGGGAGCCACTCTCCCGTCCATAGGACAGATGCTGAAGCCACCTGGTAGGGACTCAGTGCCAGTCTAACCAGAATGTACCTGGGAACCGCTCGGGGCCCCCTTGATCTTGAAAGCCCTAACAGCTTGTGTTCATGTAGTACCACCAGTGGTCCAGGCACTGTTCAAGTGTTTTCCACGCCACCTCAGCCCTTGTGATGCCCTGGTTAGGTCGTGTCATCGACAGTACAGAGCAGAGATTTGCACAGCCACCAGCAGGTT